CCGCGATTATTTTAATCGCGGCTTCATTTCCCTCTTCCGATCTGGCTAATCTACATGCCTCCGTCGACGGAGGCATGGAGTCTGGACACAGCCCTAGTGACACTGACAGACCAGCCGGTGTGGACAGTCAATGGGAGTCAACCTTGCAAATTACGTTTACTACCAAAGGCATTTGCAGCCAAACAAGGCTTTGCTTCCTCTCTGGCTTCATCTCCCATTTGCATATGTGAAGGAGTCCAGAAGAAGCGGCCTGGGTGGGAGGGGGAGAGGCAGGAAAAAGCAAGAGGGTTTGCCAGCCCTTGGTGTGGAATCCTGGCAGCGCAGTGTTTCCTCCAGCCTCACTGACACCAGCTCAGCAACTTTGTAATCACAATTAACCAAATGTAGTTGCACTTCCTGCCTATCAACTGGAGCGGGTGACAGCAATGCCGTCTGCCAGTGACCCCTCAGGCATTCTCCCCAGGCTTCTCAGCGTGAAGCAGCTACAATGGCAGCTTTCCACTGACACTTGCTGTTTGAAGAATCATAGAATTCTAGGACTGGAAGGGACCTTGAGAGGTCATCGAGTCCAGTCCCCTGCTCTCGTGGCAGGACCAAATACTCTCTAGACCATCCCTGATAGACATTTATCTAACCTACTCTTCAATATCTCCAGAGATGGGGATTCCACAACCTCCCTGGGCAATTTATTCCAGTGTTTAACTACCCTGACAGTTAGGAACTTTTTCCTAAAGTCCAACCTAAACCTCCCTTGCTGCAGTTCAAGCCCATTGCTTCTTGTTCTATCCCTAGAGGCCAAGATGAACAAGTTTTCTCCTTCCTCCTTATGACACCCTTTTAGATACCTGAGAACTGCTATCATGTCCACCCTCAATCTTCTCTTTTCTAAACTAAACAAACCAAATTCTTTCAGCCTTCCTTCACTGGGCATGTTCTCTAGACCTTTCATCATTCTTGTTGCTCTTCTCTGGACCTTCTCCAATTTCTCCACATCTTTCTTGAAATGTGGTGCCCAGAACTGGACACAGTACTCCAACTGAGGCCTAACTAGCGCAGAGTAGAGCGGAAGAATGACTTCTCATGTCTTGCTCACAACACACCTGTTTAATGCATCCCAGAATCATGTTTGCTTTTTTGGCAACAGCATCACACTGCTGACTCATATTCAGCTTGTGGTCCATTATAACCCCTAGATCCCTTTCTGCCATACTCCTTCCTAGACAAATGGAGAGACTCCATGCTGTGCAAACAGTACTGTTGTAGTTCATTAGGAGAATTACTGTTATGCCAGCTGTTCAGACTCAGGGCCCACTCCTGCAAGCCTCAAGGATGCAAAACATTCAAGAGTTGCCACCAATTTTGGATGCCTCCAGTTTTTGGCAATCCCACCTGCAAACCTCCAGTTCTTCAGAGCTCCTGGAGTTCCCAAAGAGAGGAGGTTGCTCAGGGATTCTCCAGCCGGACATGTAAAATCTGGAGCTCTCCAACTCAGTATCCAGGGTGGAAATTTCCAAGAGAGAGTATGGATTTGGGGTGCTTCTATTTTGGGGTCTTCAGCCTGGTACACCTTAAAAGGCACCTGAATTTCAGTAGGTGCTGCACTCCCACCCAGTGGAAAGCAGACCCTTTAAGGTGTCTTAAGTTGAGCATCCAAAAAAAAAGTCACGAATCACTACAGAAAAGTCAGTTCTAACTATCGGCACACAGTTCCAGCCACTAACCTATACTGTCTCAAGTGCGAGTTATACTGGTTGGCCTTGGAAAATCAACTATTGTCATTCTGGAAGAGATGACCAGATATGGGCTACATTACAAAATGGCAGTGCTGACTCTCTACCCTGGGATCATTGTTTCTTACCACACGTCAGCTTTCCTTCCATAGCCTTCTCCACTGATCACCTCTGGGCTCATCCAGTATGGTGTCCCGGTGACAGATTGAATGCCAGTTCCTGACATGCAGATGGTCTGGATCCGTTTGCTGGCTCCAAAATCTCCTAGTTTCACATTCCCAGCAGAATCTCGCAAAATATTGGCACCTAGGGGATCAAACGTAAAAACCCATGAGATGGAATTGCAATCCAAAGCAGCTCCAGCACGGGGAAGCTCAGGAAAAGGGCCAGCATCTTCCGAGTGGGGAAAGGTAACATCTAGCTACATGAAGGCACTATGGTAGGGAACCTCTTGTTTTAGACTGGAATTTTCAAAGAGGTCTGTCTCTTAGGTACCTGAAAACCCCCCCTCCCAAAGCATTTTCAAGGCATTAAGTCAACTTTATTATTCCTATTTAACAAGGAGATAAACTAAGCCACAGAAAACATTAGGTCCATATCTTCCAAAAGTGGCTTGTGATTTATGGCAACTCAACATGTCTTGGATGCCTAACAACTCAGCCTTGGTGCTGAGCTTTTACAGATACAAGGGGAGACAATGGGGGCTCTCAAAATGAGGCCTCAAATATTTCCAGTTGGACACTCAATACCTGGGACTAAGTCTCTGACCTTTAATATCCCGGTGGACAATCATATTGCTGTGTAAGTAGAAGACTCCCTGCAGAATCTGCCTGGTGTACTTCCGAGTGACGTTCTCAGTCAGAGCACCGTATGCTTTTAATTGGTCCTTTATGGAACCCTATTGGAAATGAAAAACACATACACAAACCATAGGAGTACAGTGAATGAGGCACATTTATTGTGTCACAATGGCTTTGGCTTTCTCTTCTGTGAGGGATGAGCTGGGTGAGGTAATATCTTGTATTGGACTAACTTCTGTGGGTGAGACAAACAAGCTTTTGAGGGCACTGGAAATGCCCTCTCAGTGCCACAGCTAAATACAGGGTGGAACGTATCCTGCAGCATAAATGGTTTACCCGTTTCAAAGTTTTCTAGTTAATTTTCTGGTTTATAAAAAGCTTTACTGAATCTAACGCATATATTCCATTTTTCTATCAGAGAAGCTGATAAACATAAAAGAGCAAGGAACTATATGGGACAGATGAGAAAGGATCAGTATTGTTAGAATGCTGCAAATTTGCGGATATCCACGGTTATCCACATCCGCAGAGGTGGACGTGAATATCTGCCACCCATTTTTGTGGATATGGATATGGATACACAGAGCTCGACAAATCGCTGTTTCTACTCGCCCCGTTCACTGGCGGCGCGTGCATGCGCAATGCGGGTCTTGCGCATACGCAGTGCGGGGCTGGCGAGTAGATTTCGCAGCCGTTTGTCAAGCCCAGCGGATACGGATACTGAAACAAATTTTATATACAGGCAGGATTCTTAACCTTGTTAACTCCACATAGTTCTTTACCTCCCTCTAGTGGCTGGACCACATCATTGGTCAGCTGGTTTATGGGAAAGTTACTATCTTGAGAGTATGTCTGTCTGTTCAACGACTTCTCCTAAACGGTAAGAACTAGGACAACCAAATTCAGTATACAGCTTCCTTTTATCATAACTTAAAGCAAGGTCAGGGTTTGGGTGTACCAGGAAACAGACATGTGCCTGGAATGGGATTGCTTCTCAGAAAACCGCACAGAGAAAAGACAGTCACCAGGTAGGTGAAAGGGGCTGGCTGGGGGCACCCTCTCTCCTCCATCTGGGACTGCCCCAACCCCCAGCCTTCTGCCCCCCAGGCACCCTTTAGGGGGGTGGGGCTGAAGCTCTCCCCCACAAATTTGTACAAGGACATTGCTGGCTGTTCCCCTTTGTCAGAGAATGAGGGAAAAAATGCAGTTTGCTTCAATTCCTGGGGAGACTTTAAACACTTCAGAACTGCTGCCCCTTACAGCTTGGAAGCTGGTTCTCTTCCACAAACAGTACAAAAAAAAGCAGAGCCCTGGACCGTTGCTGCCAATCGAGCTGTGGAGTGAAAGTCAATCTTTATTTGATCAGAATGCTGGCTGATTGGGAAACAAAATCATTCCGATCTGTGCTAGGCCAGACACATTACTGGCACACATGCTGGCTTCCTAGCAGGCAACAGCCTGATCACACTGCACTGCCCTCATTCTTCTGGTCCCAGGTGTGGGGGTTTATGTCAGGGACCCAGACAGATAGCCTCCAGAAATATACAGGTTAACTGGGCTGGAGTTAGAGGGGGGGGGGACTAGGAGATGAATTCAAACGGATCTGATGGGGGATTTTCTACTATGTTTACTAAATACCAAAACTATTTGTGTCTACATAATCTAATGGTCCTTTCTGGTCTTAAAAACATATGAATAAATGCAGGTTTGCTCCTTCATGAACACACCTCCTTACATATCATCTCTGGATGTAAGTAATACATGGGCAGGTGGGCCCAAGGGTGCCAGATCCTCTGCCAGCGTAAACCAGCACTGCTCTTTTTACACCAGTTGGAGCTCTGCTCCAGGGAGTTTACACGGGTTTAACACACATTGAGGAGAAGAAAGAAAAGAGACAAGTTACATCCCCTGCTAGTTGGCGCAGAACATTAAAACATCTCGATCTTCCATTGTCCCTGGAGATATTTCATTCTACACAAACAGATTCATGAGCTGATGACGTCTTCACATGCTATCGGTTTCCAAGAAGAGGATAATTAGGAATGATGTGTTTTCAACATGCACCTATCAGAATAAATAAGTGACCTACGATAGCTGTGTACTGATCGAACTACAAAGAACTTTTCCCAGAGTGCTTTGTAATAAATAACTAGGGATGGGCCCAAGCCACAGAGATTGGATTCGATCCCAAATTCGGCAATGTTCACATTCCAGCCTGCCTCACGCAGATAGGGCCCTTCTGTTCAAATAGGGATCTGACTGTCCCAATCTTCAGAGATTTGGCCCATTAGGTTGCAAAATCTGACTCCAGATCCAAACTTCACCTGAGTTGGGAGGCATTTGGATTCAGCTCTCTAGTTCAAGCCCATCTCTATAAAGAACCACATGGACAGACTACCGCCATACGTACCCCTGGCATGTATTCCACAAAGATAGACAACTTCCTCTCCTCCGGGTCCCGCAAACAACCGTAATACTGGACTATCCTGTCATGGCGGAGCGTCTTCAACAGCTGGATCTCACATTCTAAGGCGTTGACTTCCTATGAGGATACAGAACGGTGCACAATGAAAAGAAAGACCCTACGAACGCCTCATCGCTGCAGAAATGCTATCCAACCGCATTCATGCGTATCCTCCTAGAGGGTTTCTGAAGCCCTGGCTCTATCCCCAGTACTGCGCAAGACCCCCAGAGAAAGATCGGTGCTCTCTCAAGGAGCTTACAGATGAAGAGACAGGCAAGATGCACTGGGAAAGGCAGAGCAGGGACCCTGCTTGGGACGGTTAGACACAGAGAGAGACTGACTTAGTCCCTTGTTTCTTACGGGCAGCACCAGGTGCGGCTGGAAGGAGGGAAAGGCAGAGGCTGGGCAAAGCAGAGTAAGGCGCAGTCCAGAGAGGGGAGAGGAAGGTGCTGGCATCACAGAAGAGCAGAGAGGACAGGAGAAGGCGAGGCTGACGATGCAGGCTGGGGCAGCATCGTGCAGATCCTGGTGGGGATGAGGCTTAGGCCATGGCAAGTATCCTTGGGCTCTGTGGGAATCACAAAGAGCTCTGAGCCAGGAGGACCAGCCCAGCCCGCCACTGTGCATGGCATTCAGGCATGGCCTCGCAGTGACATGGGGACCAATGGTGCAGGAAGCCCCCATCCCAGGACCCCCAGAGATATGGGAAGGGCCCCGTGCAGATCCTGGTGGGGATGAGGCTTAGGCCATGGCAAGTATCCTTGGGCTCTGTGGGAATCACAAAGAGCTCTGAGCCAGGAGGACCAGCCCAGCCCGCCACTGTGCATGGCATTCAGGCATGGCCTCGCAGTGACATGGGGACCAATGGTGCAGGAAGCCCCCATCCCAGGACCCCCAGAGATATGGGAAGGGCCCCAGCCCCCCAAATACCTGGTGACAAACCCCTGGCTCCCAGTTTTAAACAGCCCTATACGCACTTCAGGAAGGATCAGTCTAACTCTGCCCCTCACCTTGCTCGTCTCTTGACTGTCTGGGTCAAAGGGCACCTGCTTCACCGAGAGCTCTCTGCCGGTGTCCGCATCGTAGCAGAGGTAAACCTCCCCGAAGGCCCCTCTGCCAAGCAGCTTCCCCAGCCTCCAGTTCACAGGCGCCTGCAAAGCTACAGGAGGGGAATCGATGGCACAGTAAGGACACGGCATAGACAGGGTCTGCGCTAAGGGGTCGCCTGACCCTGTGCAACGCGGATCCCCTCTGCTGTGCGGTATCTGGGCATGGGCAGGGTGCATTAGCACCAACCGCAAAGAGCAACCCCCACAGCCTGATTCCCATCCCAGTCACTCCACTGGCTTTCCCCTGATTTACACCAGTATCCGGGAGAGCAGGATCAGGCCCCAAGATGTATATTGACCAGGCGCCTTTCCTCTGGGCAGGGCTGCGAGGGCTTTGCTGCATAATGCTAAGTCCCTTCACTGCCCCCCACTGACATGCAGCTGGAGTGGAACATATGCAGTGGCTACCCGGGCACAGCGCTGCTAGGCAGCGGGTCAGAGCAGGAAGTGGAGAAACACTGGCCCTGCTGTAGCTGCAGGTGAGATGTAATCACCCCGGATGCAATTTGGCCAGAACACACTAGGGATGTGAAAGACTAGTTGACTAATCACTACCCCCTCCCCTTGCTGCCTCTGTCAGATAGGGGAAGCAAGGGGGAGTAAGGAGGCTACTTCAAAGCGACAACCCAGGATCAGCTGCTCCAAGCGGCACTGCTGCTTTGAATGCTGTGGGGAGTCCAGTGTCAAGCTGCTCACGGCATTTCAAAGCAGCAGCGCCATGTGGAGCCTGCGATCGGGCCCCATGTGGCATTTCAAAGCGGCAGCGCTGCATGGAGCTTGGGGAGTCCCCAGCTGACCCCGGGCTTCAGCTCTTTCGCCTTGAAGTGTAGCAACAGCCCTAGTGCTTTTGCTGCACTTCAAAGACGGAGGCACCCTATCGACTAAGCAAAGAGTCGATGCAAAAATGCATGGGCTAGTCGATTAGTCAATTACCCGACACTTAACATCCTTAGAACACACGTATTTCCATGGAAAGTGCCAGGTGATTTTTCACGAGCAGAGAAGTTGTGCTCTGTCTTGGAGCCATATCCCTGGAGCACAGCGCTTAGGACACCAGTTTGGTGCTGACTCAGGCCTGAGAGGGAAGTGCCATGTGTTGAACCACCCCTGGGATCTCACAGCAACCTGATGAAATTCACTCACAATTCCTGGACTTGCTGGGGGACTTGTTGAAGACCTGCAGTCCCTTGTCACAGTCCAGCCACCATTTGGTCCTGTGCTTCTCGTACTGCAAGGTCAGGAGCTTGCTGTCCCCGGTGAAGCTCTTGGTTCTGCTGGAGGGGACAAGCTGAAACTGGTTCTCCTGAGGGATGTAACTCCTCGGGAAAGTCCTTCGACCTTCACAAGGAAAGCAGGAGAATCATCAGCCACTAGCAGTTCCCTAGCTTGTGTTAACAAGAGGCCCAGTTCCAATAGTAGCTACATTAACACTCACCAGGGAACTTACAACGTGTGCTACCTGGGCCTACATGGGCACAGCATGCTAGCACGCACCAGAATTTACACTCCTCTGGTGTAGACTAAAGCACTTTATAAACAAGTCCTTATCTCTATCCCCAGCCCAGCACTGAAAAACCACACCCAGACCATTCACATCCCTATCTAGGGCTTACTACAGTGGTGAGGGCCAGCTGTGTAGGCACCTCACAAGCATTTATGAACTTAATCCTCTCAACACCCCAGGAGGCAGGGCAATGACTGTATCCCATTATACAGTGGGGAACCCAGGCGCAGCACAGTTTAAGTGACTTGCCCATGGTCACATGGGGAGACTGTGGCAGAGCCAAGAACTGAAGCCAAGTTGCTCCATTCCCAAGCCAATGCCATATTTCTTGGCTTGGGCATCCTTTCCAAGCATCAGGAAGCTTTTCCGCCCAGCCTGCCTGAACTGGTCATTGTCTCACCGTCGCTATAGTCTTTACGGCTCTGCGAAAGGTGATATTGTCTGGGGAAGGTCCCGCCTTTCCCGAATCGGTCACAAAACGGGATGTCGAAATCTGACAGGAGAGAAAGAGAAAAGTCTTGGTTAGTTTAACTCGGTGAGGAACTCTTGGGGGCATTTTCATGCTGGAAATTCTGTTCTTTACATGCCAATGCAATGGAGACCCCAGGCAGAAGAGTGCTCATTCCCAAGATGGGACAGTCTCCTCGTCTCCTTTCTGAAATCTGCCCAGTGCTGATAGAAGGCTAGAGTGAAAAGGACCAACCTTGGCCCCAAGAAGCCAATACAAGTTTTGCCAGTGACTTCAAGCAGAGCAGATTCTAAGACCACGATGTTTAAAGAAAAGCTCAAAACCCAGTTTATTTTTATTTCTTCGGATGGCTGGGCCCCATCACAATTACTCCTGCCTCTTTCTAAACTAGATTGGGCTGTCTTGGAGCCTGACTTCTTAAGACGAGCCACTGGGGTAACATGTTCTTACAATTGTGTCTCTTGTCCTCATCTCTTTGCTGTCTTCTTCCTCCCATTGTCCCGAGTTACCTCCATTCCCTTTTCTCTCTGCTCCACCGCGCACATTTTTCCAGTCTTTCCTAACTCCTCGGCCTCTGTCCTAATCCACACCACAGCTAGTTTCTGCACCTCATTAGCTAGAGAGCAAGGAATTTACACAGAACTATGCCTGGTTCTATTCAGGGTTATAAATCTCTCACTTAGGAAATGAATGAACTTCTATGTTGGATCAGACCCAAGGTGTATCTAGCCCAGTATCCCATCACTGACTGTGGACCGAGCCAGATGCTTCAGAGGAAAGGGCAAGAACCCCAGATGTGAAATAATCTGCTTCCATTGAGGGAGCATACTGAGCCATAAATGTTTGAGATTATTAAACCTCGTAGTCAAGGAATTTAACTACAGTCAGAACAAAACTAGAAAGAGAAAATAAGGTTAGATACAAGAGAGTATATTGGGTAAAAGCGCCGAAATCCGAGTTAAAAATGAGATGATGAGACAGGAGATGACTGGATAGATGGGGCAGAAACATTCATATTGAGAAGTACAGGGTATCACCACAGATAGAACAGAACAACATTCAATTAAAATATATTCAATTCCCCCCTCCCCCATCTTTCACCTCCTATTTTCTCCCCTATCAAACCCTGACTAAATAAATAGCCTATTCTGAAGGGTTGTTTGTTTTAGCCCCGAGCCAGCAGCGATACTGAGTTGTGTTTTCAAGTGAAACAAATCCGTTGTCCTCAGAGACATATTAACACTCCACTGCAAGTACGGACTCAAAGCACTGGTTCCATGGCTCAGTCTCTAATGCTGACTCAAGCCAAAAGTGTATTGTTATCAGCCATCGGCAGAAAGCCACTGGGCCATTTTTAGTAGCAAAAGTTATAACAATACTACAGATTGTCCATGGCTTTCCTCTCAGCAGAACATGAGACTAAGGTCCGTGCAAGTTACCAATACACTTTCCTTAATGCCATTTTCAAGGTTATTAATTGTATTTCTTATTAATGCAAATTGAGATCCCTTTCAGATTCTAATCTCAGGGGTAGCCATGTTAGTCTGTCACTGTAAAAGCAACAAGGAGTCCTGCAGCACCTTTGAGATAAACACATTGATTAGGTCATGAGCTTTCATGAGTACAGATTAGAATCTGTCCAGAAACAAATATTAAGTCAATTAACTTATTTCATCTTTCCAAATGAAAGCAAACAAAGAGAACAAGCAGGAGGGCCAATCCTGCAAGTACTTAGTAGGCATAGGGCCCGATACTTATTTCAGGTCAGCTTGACATTGTTGAAGTCAATGGAGATGCACCAAAGTTACTCCGGATTGAGACTGGGGATGGGAGGAGGAAACTTATTTCAGAATCAGGGTCACTAGAGGGGTGGAATCAGGACCCACTGCACTTCGGATCCTCAACTGCAGTGGCTATTTAGAACATGAGCAAGGAAGCCAGTTGGTTTGTCTTGAACGATTTGAACCCAGTAATATTCTGTTATTAAGTCTGTTAAGTCTGATTCACACACAGATTTTGAAAGTCCACATTACTGCTGTTTCTTTGACACTAAACCTCATGTATCCTTACCCAGGCAATCAAGACTGTCTTTGGCTTGGCTCTTCCTTCTGGGAACAGGGCTTTGGGTAAAGGGTGGGCTGTGGGAAAAGACAGAAACACCTTATTGTTTCAAACCAATCCAGCAATCAGAATGGCATCTGCATTTATTATCCACCCATAATATTACACAGTACTATTGCACAGAACCAAGGCAGCATGCACGGAACTCCAGGCCAATCTACTATGCAAGCTTCTTCCATGCAGGCCCTGATCTAGCAGGTGCTCAACTTTAACCAGGGGTACTCAAGGGGAGCTTAAAAAGTTAAGCCTGTGCTTTGCTGGTGACCTCCTTGTCCAATGTGTGCACTGAATGAGGTAGGGATCCCATGGAAAGAACAGCGCAGGATCCTATAATTACAGGCTGTACCACACTGATGCATATGCACAAGAGGACAGAATGCAGTTCCTCAAATCTTTGACGAGCAAGTGCTTGACTTTGCAACTTTCCTGGTCTTTAAAAGTTGCTTGACTAGCACAGAATTACACACTGGCACCCCTTGTCAGCCACACTTTGGACACATGAACCTGTAAAAGGCAGGGAGAGGCTACAACAATACTGATCATGTGATGTAGAAATGTAGGGACAAAAGGGGGAAAATATCTTCCAAGAACCAGAGAAATCAGAGAGGAAAAAGGCCAGATAGGCTATCTACTCCCCTACCAGTACAGGACTGTTTCCTTCCATCCTTTGTCCAGTCCAATCTCATACAACTTCCATCACCTCCATGGGGAGGCTATGCCACAGGGTAACAATTCTCTTGTGTTAGGATTTATTCCTTGGATTCGCTCTCATTTCCCTTTGCTTATGTGTGGCCCATTCCACCTAGTCGTAACGCCCCCTCTCCTGCCCGCCCCCTCAGGGCATGTTAGCAATCCCTTTCCCTCCTTCAGACACTCACAGGAAGGGGGTGGTTTTATTTACACAGGAAGCCCATAGTGATGTATCCGACTTACCTGTCTATAGATTGGTCCAGGGACTGGCAGCTCCCAGAGAGTGACTCGCCAGGGCTGATGAAAGGTTCAAGCATCTTTGGACAACAAGCAAAGGGGAAAACATTGACACAACATGTTGGAAACTGTGATTCAGCAAATCCTAATACTCTGGTTTACATAATCCTCCATATCCTCAGCAGGGGTAAACCAAGCAGTGGAAGATCTGGCCCTGCACATCTGTTATCCCATCCGGATCTCAAAGCATTTTGAAAACAAATTCATTAAATCCTCTGGCTCCATAGGGATGGATTCGTCTTTGCTGTTATTTACCGAGAGGGAAATTGAGGCCCGGAGATTAACGTGCTGATTACTGAACATGAGCAGAGTCAGCGCTTTTGAAAGTCGGCATAGGAGCCTTGCCCAAAGCCAGCCGTTAACCTGGGGCATGTCAAAGAAGAGAACTCTGGACTCCCTGGTCACTGCCTTTAATCACAAGCCCCTTCTTCCTCTCTGTTGGCATGGGGGTCAGATCAAGGAATTTACTCTGCTCTCCCCAGCTCAGCCCGTCAACACTGCATCTGGGTGGCTTCCTGGAGGTGGCATTTTCCCCACAGAAGTGTTTTCCTGGATGGCTTAGGGAAACCCAGGGCTACGCACTCTTCCCTACCCTGGCGTTTTCCTCGTGCCACCCAGCCGCATTGTAACAACTCACCTACTCCCTTTCCATCTGCAAGACACTTTACAGTTAACTAACACCCCTCCCTCCCCCTGCACTTCTGTGCTGCAAAGCCCAGCTTTCAGAGGGGGAAGCTGAGGCAGGCTGACGAAACGACCTGGCCAGAGCCGTGGAAGGCTTGGAGGTGGGATTCGAAGCCAAGGAGCTCCTCATCCCCCATGGTAAACTCAGGGTACTAGAGCATGCTTCTCTTGCCATGTGATGTTTCTATGGCTATAGCTATTTAACTGGCTACCATAGCAACACATCTGTTTTAGAAGGAGAGTCCCAATGGAAACAGTGACTCCTCCCCTCCCCCTTCTACCCCAAAGGCTGGTGAATTGCAGCAATCCAGGCAAGGAGATCTCCACCCTGCCACCCCATGCAATGGCCACAGGGGGTCACTGGAAAGCAATGGGAAATACACCAATAGCAGCTGAGTGTTGCAGTCTGTCACCCTCTGGCTTCCCAGGTTCTCAATACTAGTAGACCAGCTGCCCCCAGAGTTACACCCCCCTCTCCTCCCATGTCTCCTGAGCTGGCTCTAGTGTAACAACTACAGGCAGCCACTTCACTGCAGAGTGCAGCCACCTCTGGGGAGGGGGAGATAGGCAGTGCCCAGCCCACTGCACACTGCTGGTGACAGCCAACACTAGACCCTAAGAGTCTTCCTCAGCAAGGCAGTAAAAGCAGGGGGTCAGGGTCTCAGCTGGCAGAACTCGACTCATTCAAGTCACGGGCCACACGCTGCCCGACATGTGCCGAGGATCTAGTCCGCGGCTCCTCCCTTGACTCGTTCTAACCCTGATGAGCGCAGCTCAGAAACCATTTACAAACAGTCCAAGCCCAGCGTTTGGCTGCGAGGCACATAAAGCAGCTGCACTGGGACGCTGCCAAGGCTCCCCCCCGGGAGACTGTTCAATGTATTACTGGCCACAGAACAACCCTTTGAAAACACAGCTTTGTCATGGAAACCCTGGCCCAGCCTTCCCGCGCGTGTTGCTAGCGAGGGCCACTACAGCGCAGCAGACACACTTCTTCCCCTATGGCCTCTTTGGCAGCAGTGCAGGCGCATCCCATTTCTTAAGGCATGCGTCCCCCTCCAGACATTTGCGTACTGTCCAGAATGTGTGATAAGAACGGGCAGCGCCGCATCCCACCCACATGGCCAGTGCTCACCAGGCCAGCATTTGCAGGGCCCTATGGCTCGATCCTGTGAGGAACTCCCTGCGGGCCGACCCCTGCACCCACACGTAGTCCCACTGACTTCTCTTGGGCACCAGGCTCCATCTGCATGGGAACACTTGCGGGATCAGGGCCTACCGAATGAAGACGGGAACAGCTGGGGCATAATTTGCTTTCAACTCCATCTCACTACAGTTGTAAGCAGCGAGACCAGGACTCTATCTGGAGCTCACGCAGATGTAGGATGCAGGGAAGACCGCTCAGCACTTTCTCTCCCTCTGCAATCACAGGGAAGGGACGGGGATGCTCTCCCTTTGTTTCAGCCCCTTGCCCGTGTTCCTCATTCTCGGAGATCATATTTAAGGTTCGGATGGTTAACAAAGCCTGTTTACACCCCATATTTCCTAATGGGTTTGATCTCAGGTCAAGCACTTGTGCTAAACTAAGTTAGACCTCAGCCTGTTTCAGGGTTGAAATATCCTCCAATTGCCTCTTGGCGGCATACATTTCTAAAAGCAACCTTGCATCTAAAATACCAATCGTGCTTGCCCCTACCGGATCAGGTCGCAGGCCGACACCTAATAACCCTCCACTGCTGGAGTAAGGGAGCTTGCACACCCTGAGGGTTGTAACAATCTGATCAGCCTAATGCTGGTGACCCCCAGCTCTCACACGCCAGCTTCACTTACAGTCTGCTCCATAATCTCAGGGATGAATTCCCCTTCGCTGTTAATACTAGTGTAGGAGCCCTGCCGTGCGATCTGCTGCTGTTCTTCAGGCACGCTCCCTGGGGGTGGGGAACTCCGGCCCGTGTGCAGGGAACCTACAAACACAGACAGAATTGCTTGTGAAGAAGAGAAGAATTGTCACTGTCAGGCCCCGCCAGGAGGCTGTTTCATAGCATGTGTGTGCTTTTTGCTAGACCCAGCCTGAGCTAGGCTGCAGAGCTGGCTGATCGCTTGGGGGGAAAGCCTGGAGGGCCTGGAGAATCCATGCTGCCATTGAGCTCATGGGGTGAAAGGCTTTTCGAGCAGGTACTGTCTTTTTAGCTTGGGGGGGGGGGGAGAACAATGCCTTACGGTGTGTGGCCACATTCCCTGGCAGCACATACTCACACAGCCACACTCACACAATCCCACACATGTACAAACAGCCATACTCACACAATTCCAGAGAAACAGGTTTCCAAAGCTTAGCTGTTATACCCAGTGATGGGCATGAACCCAGACCCTCCTGATCTCCTGGCCTCTGGCACTTCAGTCCCAGATCGAGTTACGGTGGCTACAGCATGGAAGCTGTGATGCTCTTGGAAACTGACCCGCTCTTCGCCTTGTGTGCATTCACTGTGCAGCACTGGGCAGCCAAGTGAACCGAGGAGACGTAGGTTAGAAACCAACTAAAAATACCCCGCCCCTCTCCTGCTGAGTTCTCCCTCCCAATGTTCTCCTAAGCTCAAAGACCCTAGCACCAAAAGAAGGTGAAGATGGAAAAGACCCAGATGTTCAGAGTGGTCCCTCCTAGGATTGGATTTATGACTCTATGAACAGGCATCTAATCCATCTCCTACCTGATATAGGTCTGCCCCCTTCTGTTCTTTTATTAGGCCCCAATACTGTGACTCTGCACCGTCAGATCTCTGCAGCAGCTCATTGTAGGACTAGGGCTGCAGTGTTTGTTCCAGTCTAATTTTAAACATCCTCGTAGATGGGCTCTCTCCTTTTCAGCCTGGGAGACAACTCCAGAGCTCACTGCCAGTTTTCCATTTTATCCCACTGTTGCTTGAACCACGATAAGCAATTCCTCCACAGCATTAATGTTTACACACATCACTGCAATATCTTCAGACTAGTCTCACGTGCCCCGCCTTAGCCATCACTTGGCCAAGCTGCACCGACGTAATTCTTCAAATCCATCCTTGCTCTTTCCAGCTCCTTTGCGATCTTTGTCACGCTCCTCAGAACTTCCTCCAGACCATCAATATCTTTCTGGTAACCAGAGGCCCGGGCTGAATGAATGTTTAATGTATGATGCCCCAGAAGAGGATCTAGCATCTCCCTTTCCTGAGAGGTGATGCCAACACCAATGCACTCTGAAACGGCACTGACCTTTGTTATTAGGGCTGATCCAAAGCCAGTTTGATGCAAGATCTATAATAATCTCCTGGGCTGTATCTAGACTGGCAAGTTTTTCCGCAAAAGCAGATGATTTTGCGGAAAAACTTGCCAGCTGTCTACACTGGCCGCTTGAATTTCCGGAAAAACACTGACAATCTCATGTAAGATCGTCAGTGCTTTTCTGGAAATACTATGCTGCTCCTGTTCGGGCAAAAGTCTTTTCCGAAAGACTTTTGCGCAAGAGGGCCAGTGTAGACAGCACAGTACTGTTTTCCTCAAAAAAGCCCCGATCGTGAAAATGGCCATCGGGGCTTTTTTGCGGAAAACCGCATCTAGATTGGCCACGGACGCTTTTCCACAAAAAGTGCTTTTGCGGAAAAGCGTCCGTGTCATTCTAGACGCTCTTTTCCGAAAATGCTTTTAACGGAAAACTTTTCCGTTAAAAGCATTTGCGGAAATTCATGCCAGTGTAGACGTAGCCCTAGTGTTTTGTAACGGGCCAACTTCATCTCTAGTGTAACTCCACTGACTTCAGGAACTGGTCTTTCACCTTTTCTCCTTTCTTTTCAACTGGTCTAAATCAGGTGTCACTCTTGAAGTGCTAGAGCTCACCAGATCAGGCTCACTGTATTTACATCCTGGATCACTACCAAAGGCCCTGCTTTGGGGAAGGGGCTGGACACGATGACCTCCTGAGGTCTCTTCCAGCCCTAGGATTCTATGGCATTTGTTTCATTGTAAAAGCACCACTAGTGGGGTACAGAAGAGAGAGAAGCCAGTTCAGATCTCCTACTAGGATCTGAAAAAAAAAATAGCCATACAGTTTTGAGACCATTCTTTCCCCCACCCCTCACCTCTTCTTTTCCCTTTACAAATTTTCTACAGGAGAAGCACAGCATAGGAAAAACCCAAAACCAACTGAGATACCAACTAATGCCAAGACTAAGGAAAGAAAATATCTCCCATTATTACAGATCTCTTACTGAACAGACTTCAAACCAGCCCTAATAACAAAATCAAACAAAGTACAATGCAGACTCTTTTCTCTCTTTACAACAGTGGTTCCCAACCTGCGGTCCACGACGGTACTTTAGGGGGTCCGCAGAAAGTTTAAAAGTGAGGATCGGGCCCACCTCAAGCTTGGGATTTTCTGCCAAGCGATTCTTGCCCAGGGCTCGCTGTTCGCAACTATCCATCCTCCAACAGCTGTGCTGCTGTTTACGCTCCAGCCCTCTCTCCCCTCCCAGTCCTGCAGTGATCCCATAAAGAATGGCCATACTGGGTCAGATCAAAGGTCCATCTAGCCCGGTATCCTGTCTGCCGACAGTGGTCAATACCAGATAACCCAGAGGGAGGGAACACAACAGGTAATCCTCACATGATCCTACTCCTGTCACCCATTTCCAGACAAAAGGCCCGATCCCTACTTTTCTTTTCCTTGTCTTTTTTACCTCCCTCAGGGCTCCATGCCTGGCCAAGGACAAGAGTACTGGGGCAGGAACTGCCTTTGGCCATGAGAGCCCCCTCGCCTTATCCTCCGTGGATGGGCAGGGGAGAGAGGAGGCAAGAGCTGAGGAAGCAGCACGGGCCAAGGGACATGCTTGCTGCCGCTTCCCTTGGCCCATAACAGTGAAAAGCAGAGAGGGAGCTGACAGGCTCCAAACCTGCAGATGCTCCACATGGATGAAAAGTCCCAGCGTGACAGCAGTTTGCCCTGCCGAGCTGGGAAGTGACCCTGGGAAGTGCTGTGGACTCTGCTGTACTCTGTGGGGACATTTGTTTAGACAACATGAACTATTATACGTGTCCAATGATTATCAAGTAATGGAATGTTTGAAAACAGCTCTATTATTTGGGGGGCGGTTGTAACATTTTAATAGATCGAAAAGGAGTCCACATGCTCGAAAAGTTTGGGAACCACTGCTTCAGAACAAGAACGTAGCCACGTATGGTCGCTGTATCCTGGAATAAACCAGGTCCACAGTATTATCAGTCGACGACTTACTACAGCAGTGCTCAGCAAACACAGAAATAGATGCAGTCCTCGCCCTGAAATGCATGTAGATCTCACACAGACTGTTGTGTCTGAGTGACATTGGGAATTTCTTGTGTTACCATTACTGTAAGATGGGGTGTTGTGCTGTTGCTACCATTTCTCTCTTCCCTACCTAGTTCTTTCCAAAGGCGTCTAAGGCTATGAGCCTGCGAAGATTTCAATGCCCCCAGCTTAACTTCAAATATGAGAGTAGCCCCCACTGAGTTAAACAGGACTGCATGTAATTGGAAGTCTCTGCATGCCTGCACTGAAATCTTTGTAGGATCAAGTCCTTATCTGCATAGTAACTCCTTACGATGGATCTCACCGAGACTCGGAGTGAGGGAGCAGCATGGAGCCAAAGGGACCCCCACAGCCTCTGCAGATCATGCTTCACATGGAGGATCTGCGAAGAAGAGGACGCCAGTCAAGCAGGGAGGGAAAGTGAAGACGCAGCTACCAAGAGGAACGCAAATGGGATCTTCTGGGGACAAAGCAATCCACAAGAGCAGGTCTGGAGTGGGGGGTGAGATCCAACCAGGAGGGTTAGGGCCTGCCCCTTTTCCCTCCCCACTGAGGGAGGACAACTGGACAGTGGGAAGAGAGCTCAGGAATGCTCAGGTAAGTGTCAGAGCTGTAGGACTGATTGGAGGAAAGTAGATGGGGACTATGTCGAGAGCAAGACAGCATCCCAGGCAGGCTGGTCAGGTGCACCAGAAAGAGATGTCCAAGATCTCTCGCTCATGGCTGGGTCCCCTACTTTTCATTCCTTCCACACCTGTCTGGGAGAACGCCTGGGCGCTGGGAAATCGACAAGCCACAGCCCGCCGGCCTGAAAGCAACTCACTAGAGGGTGGAAGTACTGTCCAGCCATGGCCTGCCCACCTAGACCTGCTGGCCTCCCACAAAACCCTGCCACCACCCTCCTATTGACATAGGTCAGCTTTGTCTGACCTTCAGGGTTATGCTTCTGCCACCAGATTCAAGGAGGAAAAGAAACGCGATACATTCTTTTGCAGAACAGGAAGTAATTTGGACAGAGGAGGAGGATGTTACTGATTGGGCGAGGTGACTTACAGCACAACTGTCTGAGAAGCTGACACGAACAGCTCACAGTTTGACACCTACAGGGGAGTGCGCGTTCCAACGCACGTGGGACTTCCCTGCAGCCTTGCTCTGGGTGCCCCTACACTTTCTTCACTGGCGCAACTGGAGAAGTGGCTCAAGGCTTGGGAGTGAGGCATTCTGGACAGAGGAAAGGTCCAAACTCACGACTCCCAACAATCCGGGGAAGCCTGATTTAGCCACCGCCAGAGCACAATGCAGCCCCAGCTTTTCCTCCTTTAACGAAGCCAGAATGCAACTCGGCAGCACCCAGCTCTGTTCAGCATGGGACGAGGATGGAAATTGGGCAGCTGGGCTGTGCACCGCTAACGACCGAAATAATGGTACCCACACGGAACACTTAGGCAGTACAGCAGTAGGCACCTCTGACAGATTAGAGACCCTAACCTGCATCCAGAGAGACAGGGAGGGAGGGGGCAGATAAATAACTCTGGCTTTGGGCTGGCCCAGCTCATTTGTAGAGGTTGCTCGAAGGACAAGGTAGCGGTGGAGTTACCAAGCGCTCTTTGCATTGGATTTTGGGCACCGAAAAAACAGCAGCAGCGCCAA